AACATCGATGCACTCACAATATCAATGCCACTTTCGAGGGTGATTCATGGCTTACACATTGACGTAACTCTTAGTATCCCGCCCTCGTCGGATTCCCACCATTGATGCTCAACTTTATTGAATTCGCGGTGTTGTTGAACTTCTCAACACTGAACTAAAGCTCATCAACGTAGTCGGGCTCGCGACCTTGTTTTGGGCAAAACAGCATCGCTTTCACGACACTGTTAAACTCTTGCAACATTGTCTTTGACTAAACAATGTCGTTTCGTTCCTAGTACCGCAGGGTTGTTCGTACCTTCCGCGGCGTCGTATTCAACTAACCGACACCGTCTAAAATAATTATAAAATACTAATTAATTAAAACAACCCTCATTGTTTTCTCGCCGCCAAACTCTCACCCCTCGGCGTCGTTCTTAGTTAAACAACATCGTTTCCTTATTCCGTTGAGCTTTTGAGCTTCGCGATACTGTTCTAATTTTAACAGTGTCGTTTTAACTGCTGCGGCATCGTTTGACCTATCCGCGGTGTCGTTGGGCTTACTCGCGGTACCGTTTTGAACTAAACGACACCGCCGATTTAGCCAAAAAATATTAATCCATGGAAATACCGCAGTCGGCGCTCGCATTGGGCCGGGTGAATTTTGGTCACTTGCCCGTCGGTACCGCTTGCCAGGCTCTCGCGGCACCTTTTTTAAATCCGCGGTACCGTTTTAACTCTCCACCAACAAGGAACAAAAATATTAATTAATTAAAAACAACTCCTTCTCCAACAAAAAACCACACGCGCGGCCCTTGTTTTTTATTTTCGGCAAGCGGTGCCGTTTCCAGTGCCGCGGTACCGTTTTAACTCTCCGCGGTACCGTGAACTCCCTTGCGGTACCGTTTTAACTCTCCGCGGTACCGGTGAGCTCCCTTGCGGTACCGTTTTTTAACCCGCGGTATCGAATTAAATGCCGTGACTAATTAATGCGGCATTTAATCCCGGCCAAATTAATTTTAGGTGTCAACATCCCCTCAACTCCTTCATTCATTAAGTTGATTCATTAGTATATATTTTTACGTAACATATGATTGCCAATATCTTAATTTCCAACCTGTAACAAGTTTGGCTATGGAGAGACCCAACAAGGGAATACGTGAAGGACATGACGGCGGCCAGGATGGAGAGCCACGAAGCTTGTCGAAGTTGGGTGAAAGTTGTGGAGTTGACTGGGGCTAACCATTCTGGCTATAAGAATTTAGTCTGAGCTTCTTAATTAGAGGGTGGTAATTGTTTTTAGCTCATGATTACACGTGAGACCACTAGACCAGAATTCTGCAGAAGAAGAAGGAAGGAAAGTACGTACGTTGAGTCAGTGATTAATGCGATTGAGATATACTAACCATCGACAACGTTAATGTCAATGCGTGTCACTGTCAAATTGACATTATATTATCATAAATCGTAATTAAGCAGAGGTAGAGCGCAATTAGAGATCGAGCCAATTCCGTCGCCGTCAATCCCCAAAAGTATTAACCGTTCCAAATCATTGGCGTGTAGCGCGGGGCCAGCTTTTATCCATATGGATGTCTCGGCCCGTGATCACAGGGGCAGAGTCACAATTAATTGAGATCTTACTTGGGTTAAACATGTGGCCGAGAAAACAAGAAACCTTCTTGGGGAAATCTGCTGATCAAGATCAATATCGCACTCGCCTCTTCAATACATCCTATTATTGCATTGGTGGCATTGTGAAAGTCAACCAAATTCTAATCAATATTCACTGGTTGATAGATATATCATGTGATTCAAGTTAAATTGTATGGATAGTACAATTAAATTGTATATATTGCATAATAATGAGTTAACGACATTAGAATTTGAATGAGTGATCTACCTGGCCAATTTCAAGGATGGCAAAAATATCTATAGCGGTAGATATTTGTTCGAATCCCACCTGATTGGGTAGGGTAAAATCCGAACCCGAAGAATTTTAGTGGGTACGATTAAAATTCGAACTCGAACATTGCGGGTAACGGGCGAGAATGGTTTTCTTACTATCCAACTTGAGTCCACCCGGTTATACACATCCATATGTATTTTGTGTGGAAATAATAATTATTTTGCTGTAACATATTCTAAATTTAGCATACAAATATAATATTTTTTCATGAGATTGTGTCGTTTTAATTAATTTTCTTCATTCTAGTGATTTCTTGTTGTACTTTTCCTCTTATGTAATGTGAGTATACATGTGAATGTTAACATATTGGTTGGAGTTATAAAGAAAAATTATTACACATGAGTAATCGTGAATACCTGAAACCCGAACATATATAGACATGATTTTGATTTTCTATCCGATTCTGTTGTGTGTATCGGTAAAACTCGAACTACTTTTGGATCCGGATATGTAATATCCGCATCCATCCGACCCGATTCGACCCATTGCCATCCCTCTATATTAGATTAATATGTAACGGCAACATTATAAGCTCAAATAATTAAGTGGGAACATTGGAGAAAAGTTGGGGGAAATGATACTGCCTGCTGCCGAGTTGTTTCCTTTTCTTCTGTCTTTTAGATTAAGCAAAGGGTTACGCACAGAGGGAGTTGGTGGGTAAAGGTTAACGCGCAAGACAGGCTACGCTTTAGGCTGAGGCTAGCTGTGCGAAAATTTGGAAGGTCGCGGAAACCAAATATAGACACGAATTCTTTGTTTTTGGGTTCACAATACAATTTGTTGGTTTGTCAAAAACTTGCCATATGAAGAAAGGGACGCCATACTAACCTGTTAGGAACCGACACATATTATACAATAGTAGAGTGATAATTAGTGATTACCAATCGTAACATTAAGAAGTATTATCTTCTCGTTTTTTTATTAAGCAATCGTAACATTGATTACTCTATGCAACCGTTGGGAAGGAAAGCTCCGTCTTTGAAAGAAAGTGCCGATTGCAACAACAAGAAGGACCGGGTCAACTTTTTCTGCGCGATTTTATGGCTCTGATTAATTAGTTATTAACAAAGCTAAATCGTGGAAGGATTAATCGTTAACATCATCTTCTTAGCCACATAATCGAATCAGTTTTTTTTTTTAAATTTGCTCGACTCGTTTGTGCTAAATACTAGACAAATTTAATTCAATCGTGGGAATTAAGATAAATGGATGTAGCGATACTTATTGCTTAATATTTAAGAAGAGCTTATCATCATACATAATAATCGATTTGGATCACCATCGTAATCGATTAGTATACGACACTCAATTTTCATTCGTCCACAATGATTGTGCAGGAAGCCCAACTAATTAGCTTATGGTACTACAACATTGTTTATATTCTGGTAGCAATTCTTCTCCCTTTTTAGATTATTGATTAATAATGTATTTGTTTCTATGAACCAAATCGATATCCTAATTTATGCAAACTATTGATCGTCTAATTTGCGAGCACGATACATCACTATTTATATGCATTTACTTTGAATCCTGACCCTATATACTTTGGTAACATATTTTTTATAGATTTGTACCCAATTTGTACTGCAGTACGAGTTTTACGTGCAAAATCCCAACTTTTTTTTCTTCTTCTTTTGGTGTGTTGAGGTATATTTGCATAATTACACTAGATATAGATTGCTAGTCGTGCTTGTAGCAATTAGCATGTCTTTATTCTTGCATATATCCCTGGTTAGCTTCAATGTAACAGCAAGATAGTATTGGACCAATTATTGGCGTGATGAATATTCAAATTATTAACCATCCATTATTTTAAATACTGAGCTCTATATTATTGTTTTGTGGGATCAGTCAGACGTTTAATCTATGAATGAAAGACAGAGTGGGGAATAGGGAAGCACGACAGGTAATTAAAATAATAATAAGTTTAAATTAATTAATTATTTGCTGTCGCCGCGTTTGGATGACTTGAGCATGAGCTTTACCACGTTAAATCCCCAATAATACAGCAAAAGCCCTTTAATTTTGAAATAAAATATGGCTATATATAGGTGTATAATACCTAAAAGTCGTATCGTGATTAATTTATTAGTTAATAATAGTTAATCAATTATTAGACACGATAAAGTAAACAACAAATAAAAGGCTGTAATTTTTGTTTATATATGGTGGAGTGGACTGCTATTTCCAGTTTGCCTTTTATTCCATGCCCCTTTACAAAAACTATTACCTTCTTTTTTGAATAACTAATAAATGTTTCAAGGTTGATTTTTTTATAGTAATTTGACTATTAAGAATTAGTCCGCTAGTAATGTGGCATGACCATATTCACTATAATCATATTACTATATTGATGGGATATGCAATAGCATATGTTAACATGTCATAAAAATAATTATTTTGTTTTTATCTCAATTTAACGAATAATTGAGACAACATAAAATGCTTGATCAATTGCAACAACATCAACAATAAACATTAAAAAAAACATCAACAATAAACATGCAATTATTTCGAAGCTCATGAGTACGCACGATAACAGGGGAATACTTTTTCATTGTTGTGTTTTGAAAAATGAAATGAAAGGTCTCCTGTATTATTTTGATTTTTGAAGCGCTTTCCAGTTGGCAACAAACAGTCTTATTGGTTGTTCAATTTATATGCAAAGAAGAAAGAACCCTTTCAGAAATGAAAAAGTGGATTTTCTTTCCCCCTTTAATATAAAAGATCCAAATTTCTGAAAAAGAAAAAGATTCTTCAGAAAAGCTAAGGAAGAAAAAAAGATAATATTCTCTGTTATAAGAATCAAAATCCAAAATAAGCATTTTTGCAAATATTCGCTGTACACCTCTAACCTCCCACCACTTTCCTTCCATCTTCTATTCTCCTCTCTCTCTCTCTCTCTCTCTGCCCTTTTATATTCCCCCTTTCCCTCCCTCCGCATTTCCTCAAACTCTCTCTCACCACTTTCCATCTCTCTCAAAAACCCCCTTTTGCAATTCCTCTCTCCCTCTTCATTTCTCTCCCAATTCCAACTTCCCTTCACGCAATTTCCAACATGAATTCCGCCATGATCAAGCTCTTCCTCGTCTTGGGCCTACTGGCCACCTCCTGCGTCGCTCAGGCGCCGACCGCCACCCCGACTCCGGCACCCACCGCCGTCCCCACGCCGGCAACTCCTGCTCCTGCTCCGGTCGCCACTCCGACTCCCGCTCCGGCTCCGGCGCCACTCACCCCTGCTCCCACTCCAGCTCCCACCGCATCCCCAACTCCCGCACCTTCAACTGCTCCCTCCACCGCCCCCACCCCTGCTGCTGCTTCTCCCCCGGCTCCCCCTACTTCCCCCGCCGGCTCGCCCGCCGCCGGACCCAATGCTGACGTCCCTCCTTCCGGAAACTTCGCCGCCGGGCTCGACAGAGTCTTCGTCGCCGGTACCGCCGTTTCGGCTGCCCTCTTCGCCTTCGTGGCTTTGGCCTAGAGATCCATATTTCTCTGTGCTTTTTCGGTTTCTTGTCTTTTTTTTTTTTTTAAATTTGAATGATCGGACGGACGCGGACGGCTTTAGATCTTCGTATGGTCATTACATTGAGCGGTTGAGATCTTTTCATCTGTTTATTTATTCGTTGACTCTCTAGTGCCTTTTCTTTTTAATTTCTCTTCCTTTGTTGTTCTTAAATCTTAATTGCCTTTTGGGATTTCCCTGATTATTGTTGATTAATTCTATATTGTGAATTTGTTGTGATGGGCAAGATGGGCTGATGTGCTTACACGTGTGGATTTACAGTACGGGATGTAGAAAATTTATGGGGGAATTATTATTATTGTTGTGTAAATCGAGCGAAATTGATTATTAGATGAATAAATGGGATGTTTGTTATTATTCATCAATTACTTGGCTCTTTCCCGTTGCAATCCCCTTCATTGGCACGTCTGTGTTGTGACCTTTTATTTGCCACAAACTTGGCAATCCACTCACTATCATCCTATAAACTCCAGATTTTGATCAAAACAGGAACTTATAGTTGCGTGAGACGAATCGATCGACTGTAACACAACGAAGAATAAACTCGTGCACGACTTGTAATTTGATTTTGATCTAGTTGACGCAATACTATAGAGTATTTGGTTGTTTAGTGAGTAGTGACCAATGGGATGTTGGTTCTTATATTTGCCCGAGCAAATTTCGTGTTGATTCTGTATGACTTTTTTTTTTATGCAAAAGGTTATCTATGACTTGGTGTGCATTACTACACATATTTATTTTTCCTAACTACACATTGGAGCAATTTATAAATTTTAATTTGCATCTTGTCCTATAGTCAACGGTAAGTATAAAATTCAAAATACAGAGCATTGGGAAAGTAAAAACTATAAACACCAGGCGAAGATGCGAGTGATTCAAGCTTAATCACGCGCAATGACGTGTTGTACATTGTATGGTAATTATGCCTAGGGATGGAGATTGCACCTAGTCAAACGCAGAATACGATGAAGGAAGGAGGCAAAGAGCATATAATAATGATAACATTTTGGACGGAGAAAAAGAAATGACTTGGCCGGCTGGACATCCGATTCTCCAACGGTCCCATAATTTTCCGTGTTAAAATTTCAGGAAAAAAAAAATTTAAAAGGTAAAATATGGGAGGCAGAGGCTCGCCGGCTTCGGGCTTCCAGAAAGCACAATGGGCGGGGATAAGATTAAAAGATAAGACGGAGAAGAAGATTTTCATTTTTCAGAAACCAAAAAAGAAAAATAATAATGGGGAACGGGAATCTGCCAGCTGGTGAACCGTTGGCATTGACCTAACCTAATCTTCTTCTACTTGTTTTAGCTGGCTGGTCGGCTCAGCCTCAGTGCTTCGCTTCGGTAGACAAGTAGTACAGCCCCTCTTTTTTTTTTTTTTCGAGTTACTCAAAAGACATCGAAGAAAGGACGGCTTCCTCTGTTTGGTTTCTTTTCGCCTTGGAAACTAATAAGTACGGTCTATGAATCCGTATTATAATGACGGTTTAACCACAAAATACTAATATCTAAAGTTAAACCGGTAGATGATATCTAATGGTATTAACATTTGAACTATGGTTTAATCATGAATTTGTCATAAAATATCTAATCGTCAACTTTTCTGATACGGTCTCCAATACGATTTTATTGAGCATGCTAATAAATGGAGCACTTTCCAGACGCCCTGAATTCTATCCGCCCGTCCGTCCATCCATGTTATCTTTTCCGTCTCCGCATGTGTCTGAGTCTGAGTGATGCTGCAGCACATTCTGGCCACTTCATTTGTTGCTTTACGCAAACAGAAAGCTACCACATTCCTTCATGCTCTCCTACTGTCCTACATGTTGTTGCTCTTTTTCTATTTCCCGTCTTTCATATTTTGAAGTTTTTAAATTGTAAAATTGGAGCTAGCTTTGTTAGTAATCTCTTTCGGTCGATGGTAAAAAGCTGGTAAGAAAAACAAATCGCTCTAATTGATACTTTGTTGTATTAGTGTTAATGGTGCAATACATGGTAAGTATCCTAATTAGAAGCCAAATATTGAATAAGAAGGGGAAGTATTCAAGTAAGGAGACTAGCCGTTGCAACCATGAAGGAAAGTATAAACTCAAGGAGTCAAGGCTTTTGTGAAGAGCATTTCTACTATGCTATATGGTATCGGTGCTTTAATGTACAACTTAAAGTTGTACCATAACATGAAATATATAAGTTTAGGTTGTACCATAAGGAATTTGTATCATTATGTTATGGTACAACTTTACAACTTGAAGTTGTACCATCAAATAAAGGTACAAGTTCAAGATGTACCATAAAAGAATTTGCAGAAAATGTATAGGTACAATCTGAAGTTGTACCATAACGTTAAAAGTACAATTTCAAGTTGTACCATAAAGGTAAAAACCTATAGCACCAATGTTATATAGCATTGTAAAATTTCTCTTTTGGAACCGTGAAAGATATCTATGTGCAGATACTATGTGATTAGCAATAGTTGAAAGTAATTGAGTGAGTTGGTTCATGATGGATTGCTTGGCTGTTGTAAGGCTCTAGGGCCTCTTTAGCGTGAAGCTTGCAAGGAAGAGACAGTTTTACTTAGGTTGTTGACTTCTTGTGCTGTAAAGGAGTTTGAATCCCACACGAAGGAATTGAATTGGAGTTGGTGGAATCAAAGGGATAAAATCTTAGTAAAATACGTCTCAAAGGGAAACACCTTTGATTCAAGATATAAGCAATAAACTTAACTTGGTTAACAAAAAATTTATGTGTCATCCTCTTCCTACAACAGTTTTGTGTTTTAGTTTCTGGTGCATTGCTAAGAACTCTATTTTGCAGGCAATCCATAAGGGGGAAGTAAATTGGGCTGAGCAGCCATGTATGTGAAGGAGTTTCAAAGACAGGTCTCTGATCAGAAATCGATCAAATTATAGATTCATCAAGTTCATCCGTCGGGATGACTAGTCATTTACCTCAAGCCATCCAACTCGAAGGATAATCAGCGACTATATCCCAAAATTGGTCAGGGATAACTATGCATTCTGGAAAGGGTGCATGAAAATTTCTTACAAGCTTATGATTTATGTCTTAGATAAAATACTGGTTTTAAGAATAAAGGTCGTGTTTCTCTGTGATGCTTGTATCTTACTATAATGAGTGTTAGGAATGACCATGGGTGAATTTGATAGCCATCCCTTTGAATCTTTATGTTATGAATGAGAAATTAGCTCCCCAAAAAAAAAAAAAAAATCCTCACATAATGGTGTTGCGAAAAGTAAAAATAACACATTGGAAGAGTTGTGCTACAGGAGTTTATTCTATCACAAGCTTTCTGGGTTGAGGCTGTAAATATAACATGCTATATAAAAAATAATTTTTTATTAGATGGAGGCTAACTAAGACTCCCCATGAGATTTGAAAAGGCAAGAAACAAAACAGAAGCTACTTTAACCCCTTTGAAAGACTCCGAGGGAATATGATCCTGGTTACCTATCAGGTAGATTTCCCCCCTATTCTATAATAGCGGATCAAGAGCAATGAAAGAAATCAATATATGCAAATACTCTGTGATTAACAACAGATGAAAATCATTGAGTGAGTATGATCACCGTAGATTGCTTGAGTGTTGTAAGTCTTTAAACTCTCTCTTTAGTGTAAAGCTAGTGAGGAAGAGAGGGAGATCATTTTCCAGTAGAGAGGTTTAACTCCCAACCAAAGAGATTCACTTGGAGTTAGTGGAATCAACAAGATAACACTCTAAGAAACTAACTAGGTCTCAAATGGCAAACACCCTTGAGCTAAGATGTAAGTAATAGGATGAACTCGATTAACAAAAAAATTATGTGTCATCTCTTTCTATAGGTTTTTTGTGTTTTCAACTTCTTGTGCTATGTTCAAAACTCCTCTGTTTTGGAGGCAATTCAGAAGGCGAGAAGTAACAAGTGAAGAAGTTTCAAATATGATGGGCTTCTGTGAGTTTGGAATTGGTGAATTGTACTGAGCAACCGTGTGTGGGCCGAGGTTTGATACCAAGCCCACCTCAATCTTCGTCAACGAATACGAGCTGACGAAGTCTACTTAATCGATCACCTTTCTTTCTGTCCAATCACCCTTTCTTCTTCTTCCTCCGTTACCAACTACTGAAGAACTTATCGTTCCAAAGGAAATGGTCATTACACTTCTTTATATATTTTTAGTAACTTATATAATAGGGAGTTGTTCCAAGTTCCAACCTAGTATAATAGGGAAATGGTCATTACAACCAAGTATAGGACTGGTCTAGAGGTAAAACTATTAGCATTGAACTTGTAGGTTCCAGATTCGAATTCTTTCGATAGTATTTAATTACAAAATGTAAACCTATATCACCCTTAAAAAAATAGTTTGGTCAAACAATGTGAATAATGTTAACATCAGTCTTGTCAGTTGAAACCAATTTAACTACAATTCTCATTTTTGTCACAACTTTGCTTACCATTGGGGGATATTAGGTTGGTTGTTTTCTTTCTAAATCGTAAGATTATGATTGTGATGCATGATATTTGGCCTCTCCCAAAAAAATAAACCCAAGCATGAATAGCATAAAAATCATTGACTATTCATTTGTTATAGTACTAAGTGTTCAAAATCTAATAATTAAGGAAAAAGACAACTCTAAGGGTATGTTTCAATTTTGTAGAAAATATTGTTGAAATTCTCACCAAAAAAAAAATATATTGTTGAAATAATGAAATTAGTTATAAGTTACCCAACCCAACATTTGAAATTAAAGTGACCAGCAATAGTGGAGCTTTAGGTAAGGGTCTATGGGGTGTGCCCTGCTGGGCTACGTGGGAAGCCCAGTTCGAGAGTTAAAGGATGAGCGGCGAGATAGGCCTGAGACCGGCCTTTGGCATAGAGCCGCTAGGGCTTGAACGAGTTTTGGGCCCAAGCAGAGGGGCTTTTAATGTCGGTTCACTTTCACTTTGGTTTCCTATTTT